GAAGGCTTCAAACTTGGAATTCAATTCAACGTTTGTCACCATGGTATTCAATAAAACAACTTTGTCAAAAAATAAAAAAATAAAAAAAACTAAAAAGGCAGAGAATAAAAGTAGGATCTTGAATCTCTGATACCAAACTAATGTAGGACGAGTAGAGATTACTTTCCTACAAGTAGTGAGCCCAGTTTAAATATACTGGCAGCAGCAAGCAACAATAGACTTATAAGGCTGGATTTTGTGGAATTTTGTGGTTGCAAAAGTATTTAAAAATAAGTGTTCAAGAGTTTGTAAAAATGTAGGGTTTTGAGAATGAAAACACAAGTGTTTAAGGACAATTGGGTTAGGTGGTTGTTCTAATCACTATGAACAGTGACGTGAACAGTAACCTTACTGGATAGAAGAAGAAGAAGAAGAGAGAGAGAAGTGCTTCACCTTCGCAAGGGATAGGCCAATCACACAAACACAATCTCAAATTTTCATAATATTAACTTTGCTATTGAATCATTGAGATTACACATATATTTATAGGCTGAAGACTTTCCTAATTCTATAAGGACTATTTCTTAAATTTAGAAACCAAAACTATTTAACAACTACTAATATTCTAGACCAACTATGACTTCCAATTCTATTTCAATGATAATAGGAAACTTTAATGACTTATAATTCTATTTCAATATCAAAATAGGAAATTTGGACATTGACCACTAAGATTATTTTAAACATAGTAAAACTCATATATAATAACCCATTTAATAACTTGACCCAAAATAAAACCCATGGGTGACCCCTATAATCCACATCCAACAATTATTGGAATTACCATTATACCCTTAGTTACTAAAACCTACTATAATGACATGAAGACTCAATATTATTCCAAATCTTTAATTCTTGATGCCCTAAATGTGCTTCATGTGAAACTCCAGATTTGCTTTTTTTCTTCTTTCCATGATCTTCATCAATAAATGATTTAGTCTATATTTGTTTGCTCCATCTAGTAAAGTAGCATTAATAAATCAGAACATGAGCATATCTTGGCAGTGAATCTCAAATCATGAATTAATATAGACCGATCTTTGATCAATTGAGCGGGGTTGCTCAATTTATGACCTTCTGCTCTCATACCTAAGTTCCCAAACTAAGATACTTTGATTGTAACAGATAGTGACCTTTGGCACGAGTCATGGATTTCCTAATTTTTCTAAAAGATTAGTTGGCAACTCCAAGTCTGGTGATATAGTGAGTTTGGCATTTCGTATGATTAGCAGTTTTCTATGGATTTGCCGAATTCGAACTCTTATTTTGTTTCACATTGCACTCGTGAAACCAGACAGGGGTTTGAACTGTCAGGCCCGCTCGAATACCCTCCAAGGAGATCCCAAAGGTAGATTGGGTGGGTCAACTGTTGCAATACAATGATGAAAAGGGGCAGAGAAGAAGAAAAGTAGAAACAAAACAAGGAAAAGTAAAAGGAAAAGGAAAAGGAAAAGGGGCAAAAATGTCATTTTATCAATCCATTTGGGGCCAATATCTGCCTCACACACTCAATTAACACGCAGTTAACTTGGATAGAATCTATTACTTTTTACACTTCACTCCATATTACAAGGGAGTTAAGTGTATATTTCTAAATTATAAAAAGGTAATGTATTTTCAAACAAAACTACAAGGTGGTAAAATATAATAAACTCTAAAAAAATTGACACACCACATGGCGTATTTGACATGCATCCTAAAACATCCAAGTCTGACACATGTCGAACACAGTTACGATAACTAAAATGGAGTGTCATTCAAGTATTTAGCCCTTAAGAGTTTCTAAGCAAAGTAAATTTCAAACAAAGAGGAGCTCTCACAATCTATGGAACTAGATGATTAGAGAGACAATGAGCAAGCAACTAAGCACAAAAGTGCTAGACTCTCTCGAAGAGTCTCTTATATATAGAAAGCCCGACTTCCCATTCCCAATAGGAATAGGTTTTATCACAAGTAACTCTTCATGTAATAACCCGACCTTCGTACATGTTTTCTGGTATGCTTTTAGTCCCTTACTCTGTGCATTTATGTGCTTGCTGTGAAATTCCATGTGAAATTAAGTTAAATTGAGTGAATCATACGATTATAGATTCATATTTGTCTAATAAGAGAAATATCTGTTGCAATTGTGATGTTCGGATCAAAAATTGGAAGCCTTAGAAGCTTGATAATCTGAAATTGACCTTGTAATTGAGATCAGCATGATTTTTAGATCATAATATGATTTTCTGTAAAAATTTAATTTGAAATGATTAAACTGATTGATTTTTGTCTTATTCACCTTTTATATATTTACTCCCTTAAATATTTGACTTAGTAATCTTTAACTCAAAAATATCTCCTGAGAGAGAGAATTAGAAGAGGAGAGTTAGAGAGGAAGAGGCGAAGCTCAACAAGGAAGAAGCTTGAGAAATTGGAAAAGGATTGTAAAGACTAAGACTCAAGGTAGGTATGATTCCCTTTAAATAACCTCTTTCTTGGATTTGTGTAAGGAGTTCCTTTCATTTATGGGAACTAGGGTTTTGTAATTGAAGCTTTGTGTATGACATTTGGTTTGTTGGAGAGGCACTCTTATCTTTTAGTTATCTTGAGTTAAGTTAAGCAATTTGAAGTAGGATTACATTTTATTCCTTCAATTTCCATGTTTGAACTCATCTATGTAGTTAGATGGCTATATGCATATATGTGTGAAAAACCATATGTAGGTGGAAACATAAAGGAACTGAGTTGTAATTGATTGTGATTATGAATTTAAAGTGATTAAGGACCTAAGTAAGTTTGTGATTCATCTTTATATGTTATTGAGTCATATTCTTGTCTTAAATTTGCATATTTTGAGCCTTGCCATATGTTTACCAAGATGGGTTTTTGCTTGAATTCGTAGTACACAAAACAAAGGCAACGACCGCACGTGCAGGGCTCACAGCCGCACGTGCAGAAAACAGGGGAATTCGAGGCTTGGCTACTGAAATAAAAGCACGTGCGCCCTCTTCCCGTACGTGCGGCCCATGTGCAAAAAACTTCGTCTGATCCGCTTTCCTTGTTTAACCCTCTAGTATAATTAAAATCTGTATTTGATGCTTTTAAAATGGTTGTAAATTCATTCGAAGCAAAACGAATCAGATATTATTTAAAAAGGAAAATGGACTAATTCTTGAACTGCATGTGTATGTAGGGCACATATAGGAAGGAACTGTCGCTCCACCACAGCACTGTGAGTAGTAGTACTGTAGTAGTACATTTTGCTTACTGTTAATAGTTAATGTTAACGTTCTGTTATCCATAAGTGAACTACGTCGATTCATAACGAGTAAATGGAACTTATGCACATTATTGAACGGTGATATCTGTGTGGACCTGAGATCATTCAATTTTGCTAATAATAGGCCTGAGGGCGTTCAGTTATAAGCCTCCGAGTGTGGACAACTCTGAAAAAGCGGGAAGTGAGGACATGTTAATGACTCACCGACCGTGTTCTGGTTTGAATTAAATATATTTATGGCCTATGGCCAAGGGAAGTGGCGTACATGCCGATGTATCACTTACCCGTTAATGTTCAGACATCTGTTGGTATCTGGGCCCGAGGCCGATCTGTAAAATCTGTTGGGCCTAAGGCCGTTCTGTATGATACTAGGCTTGAAGCCGCTCTGTATAGAGATTGGGCCCAAGGCTGTTCTGAAAATGCTTACAGAATAAGATTAATCATATGACCTCTGCTCTTATATACGTTATAATTCAGGTTTATTCATTAAATCATTTAAGTACTATGTCTGTCTCTGTAGGTAATCAACCTGGAGGTCAGTCTTAACCCATCATGCCCGTTTCTCTTTTGTCAACTTCAATGCGTCCAAGCACTTAGATGAAGCTCATTCATTTTGTGGAGTTCTTGCTAAGCTTTTAGCTTTGTGCTCTAAGTCTTCTGTCTAATGTCATGTATTGTGTATAACCTTCTTTTACCAATGCTTTTGCTACACACCCAATCATGGGGCTGGGTCTGTATATGAGTATATACATAACTGGTTCTCATATGTATGTTCACTGTATGTTTGTCTACCTGATGCAATGTTTGTGATCCTGGCATATTAGTGATAGCTCAACGGATATTGTTTATATTGACAATTGCTTCCGTTCAGGCCCAATGTTATGCAAATTGAATTTTTGTGTCCATTTCTGAATTGGTCATACCCAAACTTTTAGGGGCAAGTTTGGGGTGTGACACTTCATTATAAGGCTCTTTATATTAACTCTTAATTGAGGTAGATTCCCTAATAACTCTTAATTAGGTTTAACATTCTTTGTTCCTTTGAATTACAAATTACTCATATTGCGTGCCACCTCAAATTACTAATTTACCTTGAATTAGTATTCTTCTAATTCTCTATTTGAGGAATTTATTCCTTGGGCTTCTTCTAGTCATGAGGTACAGCAACATATCACAACCAACCTCGATATAGTACGAGTATGGACAGTATTTCAGTTAACAATTACCATGTAATTTGACCCTCCTATCACTTTAGGTCTTTTGATAACCACAACTGCGACAAACAAAACCACAACCCACTACCCGAGGTGGAGCCACGTAGGGTCAAGGAGGGGCACATGAACCCCCTCAATTTTTACACCTAAACTGCAAAACTTGTACTTTTACAACTAAATAAAAACATGTGGGTTAACTCGAGCATAACTTGAACATATGATTTTGGTACCATGATCTTTTGTTATCCTAAAACGAAATGAAAATTGGGTTTAGTGTGATTGTGAAAGACCTTGCTTAGGATTCTAATCAATGTTGCCCCAAAAATCATGCCCACTACTATGAAAAAGCTTACACTAGATATCAACAAATCCAGGCTCAGCCAATTGCAGAGAAATTGAAACAAAATCCCAAAAACAAAAGACCATTAATTAGAAATATATGTGCATTTTAAAAGAAGGAATAAGAGTCAGTAAATGAGGTTTACCTAGTTGAAGAGCGAAAGATGGATTGTCAAGGATAAGAGTGAGGCTTTGAAGCAAATGGGTACAAAGGTTTAATCTTGGAGCAGCTTTCGAAGGCGGGCTTTGATGAAGTCGTTGCGGGCCTTGGTGCGAGCTTGTTGAGTGGCTACGTTGGTGAAAGAGAGGTGGACTCCCACGGCGAAGAGGGTGGCGCCGGCGACGAAGCAGGCGACGGTTGCGGCCAGTTGGTTGGGCGTTGGTGGGTAAGAAGACCACAGGACCATCTCCTTTTCCTTGTAGCTGTGATGGATCAGTGTTGAATTCTCTGTATAAAACAAAAGGGTTTGTCTCAATACAGTGGTGGTGATTGATGATAAGTCATACGAGTCAATTGTTTTAATTGTACTTGGCTTTATCTCAGCTTGGACTTGTCTTAGCTCAGCTAAAGGCAGTCCCGGCCCTGGCCATAGGCCCATCAAGTCATGGCTTAGGCCCTCAAAATAGGCTCAAAATGAGGGTCCCTCTTATTATAAGTTAGTATAATATATTAGGTGTATTTTGAGTCCAAAAAAAATTTAAAAAAAAAAAAAGCCCAAATCAACTTAATTTTGTTGACCTATTAAAAAGTCAAAAGTTTAAGGCCCAAACCAACTTAAAAGGCCCATTTTTTTCTAAGTACTAACCCTATCAACCTTCCCTTTGATAGCCACACCACACCAGCAAGGGAGAAGAATCTGTGTAGCTAGACGAAGCAGCGCTCCAGTAGCACAGGTAATTTTTTTTTTTTTTTATTTTTTCTATTCAATTAATTAAATATTTATCTTATCTTTTGCACAATTAATTACTATTATAATATTGGTGTTTACATCATCAAGAAAAATTTATTTAAGTATAATAGTTCACATCACATAATTTAAAAGTTTTGTATTTTGTTAAGTGGTGATGCTTTTATTTTGAATTTTGATTTAAAAAAATATTTTGATCACAACACAGTAAGCATAGGTAAATATTTTTTTTTATTCAATTAATTAAATATTTGTCTTATCTTTTGCCCAATTAATTGCTATTATAATATTGGTATTTACATCATCAAGAAGAATTCATTTAAGTTTAATAGTTCACATCACATAATTTAAAAGTTTTATATTTTGTTAAGTGGTGGTGCTCTTGTTTTGAATTTTGATCTAAAAAAATATTTTGATCTCAGCTCATCATGACTCTTAAAAGAAATTATCCGTCTAGATTCGCAAAAAAGAACAAGAAGCAAAGAGGCAAAAAATTAGTCAAGTGTCAAAGAGGAACTATTGATAAATTCTTTACAAGTGACAAACAAATAGAACGATCAGTTGAAGACTTGAATAGTAAAGAATTTGAAACTTTGGTGAATAATGAGAATGAAAATTTGGTGGATAATGAGAATGAAAATTTGGTGGATGAAGAAGGAAATGGGGAATTTGGGAGTGCCGAAGCCAATCAAGATGATGAGATGAATACGGAATGTGAGCATTCAAATATAGATGATCCAGGGACTTAGAAAATAGTTGTTATAATGTAATGCTAAGTATTTTTTGTGATTTTAATACAAATCTTTTGTCCTTTACCTTAATTTTTTTTTTTCCATTCAATAAAAAAAAATGTGAAGGGCCCCAAAAATTTTAGTAATTGATTATTGGCTTTGGGCCCCGAAAATCTCAGGACCGGGCCTGGCTAAAGGCCTCCTATCATGTGTTCCTTGACCTCACAGCTCCACAGCGAGCATGTGGGAAGTGAGTTTTTTTTTTTTTTTTTTTTAAGGATATTTTTTTTTTTTAATTGTAGGATATTGTTAAAAAAAAAATTGTATTTAGAAAGATAATTGAGTTTTTTTGTGGTTGGATGTGATATTTATGAGAAAAAAATGAAATAATTATGGGGTTTGATGTGATTTTTGTTTGGATTAGTTTTTTTTGATTTTGTAACCAATTTGTCTTTTAGTGAAAAAAAACCAAAAAATCAAAAAACTTCCTTCCCAAACACCGCCAATTGTATCATTGGGATAGAAAATAAAAAATAAATAATAAATAAATAAATAAACAAATAAATAAATTAGGATAAATTACTGGCACCCTCTTATGTTTAATCCAATTATATCTTACTCTTTGATGTTTTAAAAATTATATTTTTACCCATATGATTAATAGTCTCATTTTACAAATCTCCTACTTATATAAAAGGCAACAATTTTTAATAGAAAAGTTTGATGTGATTTTTGTTTAGATTAGTTTTTTTTGATTTTGTAACCAATTTGCCTTTTAGTGAAAGAAAACCAAAAAATCAAAAAAATTCCTTTCCAAACACCGCCAATAGTATCATTGGGATAGAAAATAAAAAATAAAAATAAATAATAAATAAACAAACAAATAAATAAATTAGGATAAATTACTGACACCCTCTGATGTTTAATCCAATTATATCTTACTCTTTGATGTTTTAAAAATTATATTTTTACCCATGTGATTAATAGTCTCATTTTACAAATCTCCTACTTATATAAAAGGCAACAATTTTTAATAGAAAAAATAGATGAAATTATTTTTTTTTTTAAATAAAGCAAAAGAAAGGGGGGAAAAGTAAAGCAAAACAAAATAAGAATAGAGAGAGAGTGCATAAATTCACTGTCTTCATTCAATCTAAATAATTACAATGACAAAGGCTTAGTGTAATTTGCCAAACGTCAATGGGCGATATGTATTAAATCCAAATTTCAGGGGTGTAAGTATAATTTACCTAAAAAATTATAAAAATATTGGGGGTGCAAATAATGGAGTGCAAATGAAAACCTACGGAGTACAAGTCTTACTTGCACCCCTTTATGTATAAGTTTTTTTTATTATTTTTATTTGTCCAACCAGTAAGTAATTCTCCCAAATTTTAACACCTAGTTAACTAGGTTAGGGATTTAAAATAATATCAACATGATAAAACAAATGTTAAATTAACTAAATTAGTGTTAAATTTATATAACAAAAGATTTATATGAAAAAACATGTTTAACAAAAAATTAGTTATGCATTTTAATATTATTTTCATTATAATGTGTCGTGATATTTTAAATCTTTTGTTCAATTTCATTTATCTAAATAAAAATAGGATGCTCGTGTTAGAAGTTTATTTCTCAAATTGTTGGACTAATAAGTCCAAACTTTCTCATCTATAAATTATCATATGTCCTAATAGTTACACTTAATTCCCATCAAATCCTATTAAAAATAAGTCCAACTAAAATTGCCGCTAAAAATAATTTTTTTGACAATTTTTTACATATGTCGCTAAAAATTGACAATTAGTAACTTTTTTGTCACAATTTTTATAAATTGTTGTTAAAATTTATAATTAATAATATTTTTATGACGAATTTTTGAAACTACCGTTGAAAATTGAAAATTAATGACTTTTTTGTGACAATTTTTTTAAGTTGTCGTTAAAACTTATAATTAGTAACATTTTTGTAACAAAATTTTCAAATTGTCTCTGAAAATTAACAATTAGTAACTTTTTTTTAGGAAAAATTGGTCTAAGGTCCCTCTCCCAATTTTAGCAATGGAAGAGATCCACAATATTATATTATGATGTCTAAGGTCTCTCAACTTCCACACCAATATATCACAAAGAAAATTAACTCTCTCAAGTCAATCCACCGAATAATTTCTCGTTGAAGAAAATCTGAGCCTACTCTCTCTCTCTATATCAAGAGACCCAGCTTCTTCTACCTCAAGCAGCTCTGCTTCGGGTTTCCTCCAGCCGTTGCTACTCTGTACAACACTATCATACAGTTCCACTTGCTTGCCCTTCGTCTTGCTCCAGAAGTCCCAGCAAAGTTAAGTTGTCGCAATGACACGAGTTTGCATTCTCTCCACAGAACAAAGGTTGGAGTCTCTGATTGATCAAAGCAGAATTTCTTGTTCAAGACTTGCTCAGTTGAAAAGTCATTACTATACCTTGAAATATCTTCCTCAACTCTAGATCTGAAACCAGAATTCTGATAGGTTAAAATGCCTCTCCGACGAGCAACCCACACCACGGCGCCATCTTTCTTATCTTCCATTTTCTCGAACAATTATGTTTCACAAAAGCACGTCCTAGCAGGTGTAGAAGGCTTGAGTTCACGAGAAATGGACAATCGAAGCTTGCCGGAATCAAAATTTTGTGAAGTGTTCTTGAAACCATCAACATCTGAATACGAATAAGAATCATCCGTATGCTTACTAAAGCTCCTCATGGACTTGAGTTTCCCAGAAAATCCTGAATTCTTTTCTTGGAACTCTAGATTTTTCTTCATAGTCGTCCCAGCCGAGCAAACAGCTCCCATTGTGCTTAGATTATCAAGAGAAATTCCGAATTTCTCTGGAGAGAAATTCCAAAGTCCAGAGAAATTTGGTGGACGAATCTGCAATGCTTTGTCCTTGTTTTACTTGATTCTCCCCATCATCATACAAGCATTCAGCCTTTGTATTTTCCCATCCTGCCATAAAACATCAATATCAGTTCCAGAGAAATTCAAAATTTCTCTAGAGATAAATTCGGAAGTCAGAGAAATTTGGTTAAAACACATTATGAAAACACATTTGATAAATTCCGAAGTCAGAGAAATTTTGTTAAAACACATTCCAAAGTTAGAGAAATTCCGAAGTCAGAGAAATTCAAAATTTCTTTGGAGATAAATCCAGAATTTCTCTGGAGAGAAATTCTGAAGTCTAGAAAAATTTCCAGAATTTCTCTGGAGAGAAATTTCTTTGGACCAATTTTCTCTGGATCAACTTGAGGGACCTTAGACATTATGAAAACATTGAGTGTCATTTATGCTGTAAAATCTTAATACCAGGGATCTTAAAAAAAATTCCCCCTTTTTTTTAATAGTATTTAATGAAAAACGCCATTAATTATCATAGGGCCTATTGGACAATAAATCCACTAATTAGGACTTACACGTAAGTCCCCCCCCCCAAAAAAAAGGTCCAAACTTTTAATCTTTTTTGGGCCAAAAGCACATTATCTATCCAAAATGATGCATATTTGTTCAAAATTTACATATCTACTTATCTATTCTTTTTTTTGTTTTTTTTTTTTTTTGTTGCTAATATATCTATCTATCTATTCAAATGTCACATATATATATACACGTATTATCTATGAGTCCAACTCTATATTCAAAGTAATTTATCTATAAATGGGTCACTTATTTTTTCATCTATCTAGTTCAATGTCACCTATTTGTCCACCTCACCACCACTAGCCGCCGCCACTAGCAATTTTCCAATAACTTTAGGAAATTTTTAACTAAGTAAATAATATTAGAACACCTAGAGGGTGCGCTAGAGAGCCCTTCTCTCTAGGAAATTTTCGGCGCTCCTTCAGCAACTTTCCAACGTGTTTCTAGTGAGCTCCTAAAACAC